GAGTTATTCTTTATTGGGTATAGAGTTCCCATGTACAAGATGAAAAGAGTTATGAAGATAGATGATGGTGATGGTTATAGAAAATATGAATATATTTACCACCACTAAACTGTATACTTAAATATGGTTAAGAGGGTAAATTTTATGTGTATTTTATCACAATAAAAATAGAAAAAAATGTACAGCTCTTAATGAAGTGAGGTCAGTAATAAACCCCATAGAATTTAAAGATGTATGTTTTCTGATCCACTATCCACCTCTGCTCTAAAATATATGTATGGAAATGATGCACTGAATGGTTTGTTTATGCAAATAAAAATACTCTTTATTAAATTTTATTAAGAATCTTCAAAGTAACATATTATTATCACAAGCCTTAAAATTCTATTAAAGGGTTCAATAAAACTATGTTTAAGGGTTTGAAGAAAACAATAATAATCTCCAACTTTCTCTCTACCTATCTCACCTCAGTAACCAATGTTACAATCACCATGATTATGGAAATAAATAAGTACATATATATAGGTGGTGGTGTTCTTGCAAAACTAGGCTCATTATAATAATATTCTGCAACTTCCTCTTCTTACTTAATAGTGCCTTATGTAAAAAGATATAACATTTCTTTAATATAATAGTATGTACATATATTTATTCAATCATTCTGCTATTGATGTACAATTCTTTTTCTTAGTCACTACAAATAATATAAAAATAAGTATCTTTCTACATATATCCTGCCACAATGGTGCTTTTGTTTATATAAGATTAAATTGCAAATGTTGGGTGATAGTGTCATAGTATATGAATATCTAAAATTTTAACAGCCATTGCCAGATAACTACTTTCAAAAAGGTTGAAGTGACTCACTCCCCTTCACATCCTAGCCAGCACTGAATACTGTCATTATTTATTTATTTATTTTTGTTAGTTGGATGAATAAGAATGGTACCTTGTTAGTTTATCTGCATTTTCCCTGACTACTAACGAGGATAAGTATCTTTTTTTGTTGTTGTTGTTAATCCTCACCCAAGGATATTTTTCCATTGATTTATTTTCAATAGATTGGAAAGGAGAGAGAGAGAAAGAGAAATATCAAATGAGAGACACATAGATTGATTGATTGGTTGCCTCCCGCACAGCCTCAGTTGGAACCGGGGATTGAACCTGCAACCCAGGTACATGCCCTCGATTGGGAATTGAACCTGCAACCTTTTGGTCTAAGGGCCGATGCTCTAACCACTGAACAAAAACAGCCATCTTTTTATATGCCTGTTAATCACTTGGATTTCCTCTTCTACAGCTCACTTTCTTACTTTCCATAATTTGGATCTTCAGTGCAGAAATTGAGTTTAAAGCTTTTAGTTCATGTCTCATCATTTTGAGCCATGAAAGGCCCATTATTTTATTTTGTTTATTCTTTGCCTTCATTCGCCATTCCCACAGGAAATCAGTTGAATGTGTTTAATGGTTGATTTTTTATGTGTGTTTCTTTTTTAAACAGCTCTATTGAGATATAGTTTACATGCCATAATATTTACTGGTTTTAAAATATGCAATTCAACCCTGAATTGGCTCAGCAGTAGAGCATTGGCCTGCTGACCAATGAGTCATGGGTTCAATTCCGGCCAAGAGCATGTACCTCGTTGCAGTTCGTCTCCAACCCTGGTCAGGGTCGTGCAAGAGGCAACCAGTTGATGTGTCCTTCTCATGTCGATGTTTCTTTCTGTCTTCCTTTCTCTCCCTCTCTCTCCCTCCCGCTCTATCTGAAGATAAATGCAAAAAAAAAAAAGTCCTCAGGTGAGGATAAAAAATAAAAGAAAATGAAAATGAATTTGGAAGTGCTCCCTTTTTTCCTATTTTTTTAAAAGATATTTAAACATTTGGTAGGATTATCCACTGAAGTCATCTGGATCTGGAGATTTTTGGGGGGTGTGGAGTTAAACTATAAATTCAATTTTCTTAATAGTTACAAGGCAATTAAGATGATTTAATATGCAGTGAATTGGGGTATTTTCTGGTGTTCAAAGAATTAATCCATTTCATCTAAGTTGTCAAGTTTATTTGCATGTGTGGAGTTGTTTGTAATTGCTATGGTCTGAATGTTGTATACCCTCCGACCCCCAACCCAAAATTTATATGTTGAAATCCTAATGCCTCATGTGATGGTACTGGGAGGTGGGACCTTTAGGGGATGATTAGGTCATAAGGCAGTGGTTCTCAACCTTCCTAATGCCGCGACCCTTTAATATAGTTCCTCATGTTGTGGTGACCCCCAACCATAAAATTATTTTTGTTGCTCCTTCAGAACTGTAATTTTGCTACTGTTATGTCTTAGGCGACCCCTGTGAAAGGGTCGTTCAACACCCAAAGGGGGCGCAACCCACAGGTTGAGAACCCCTGTCATAAAGGGAAGAGTGCTCATGAATGGGATTAGTGCCCAGAAGTACAAATTCCCATGTTCGTTTTTTTTTGTTTGTTTGTTTTTTCAGATAGAGTGGGAGGGAGATAGGGAGGAAGAGAGAGAGAGAGAGAGAGAGAGAGAAACATCGATGTGAGAGAGACACATCGATTGGTTGCCACCAGCACAACCCCAACCAGTGCCAGGGACAAACCACAACCGAGGTACGTGCCCTTAGCAGGAATCGAACCCAGGACGCCCCGGTCCACAGGCTGACACTTTAACCACTGAGCCAAACTGGCCAGGGCCCATGTTCCATTTTGATATAATTGTATGGCTTATATCTTGCTAAGATATTGTGGCCAAGTCATTTTCAACAAGATAAAGTATCACTGTTACTATGAGATTATTGTTGTCTATTTGGTAAATCTTAATCATATTCAGTGGCCTGAGATGCTTGGTGAATACGACTTCTGAATATGTAGAAATGTTTTAAGTATTGACATAGGTCAGACTACTTATATGATAGCAAAAGATTTTGTCTGATTTCATTTGTGAGTAGATATTTGTACATAAAATTTTATTTGACAAATAAAATATAGTAATTTAATTCTTCAGAGGCAGTTTACAGACAGACCTGCTGTTGGATAATTACAGATGTTTCAACCCTGTGTTTGATTTCACAGACAAATGACTCAGTAGAAGAGAAATATTGCAAGCAAGGAATATAAATATGCATTCAAATATGACTTGAATAATTAAATTATGCCTTCAACTCTTTCTGATAAGAATGTAACATGCATTTCTCATAGATAAATTGTTTGGTCCAGTAATCTAAAATAAATGGCCTGAGATTGTGAGTTTACATTTAAGATAGAAACATCGATGATTGAAAACATCAATTGGCCACCTCCTGCATGCCCTCCACTGGGAATCAGGGCCACAATCTGGGAACGTGCCATGACTGGGAATTGAACTGGTGACCTCTTGGTACATGGGTCGATGCTGAACCACTGAGTCACACCAGTCTTGCTAAAAATTTTTTCAATTTAGTTAAGAGAGAGTGACTATGTAACACACATACTTGTATGAAATAAATATGGCTATTCTGAGCAAGTAAAAGTCCATGTTCTATTTTTTTTTTTTTTTTAATAATTTCCCCTCTGTGTTCACATAGCTTTATAGCAGTGTTTTCATAAACAATGGATTGTTCTACACCTAGAGTTGATTATGATTCACAGCACAGGTGTGAGAGTTCTTGAAGTCTCCAGTATTAATCATCATTGATCTTGTGCAATAACTAGTAGAGAATGTAGAAGTAAGGGGGGAAATGTAGGCTCTTATAATGTAAAGCAAAATAATTCTATTAGCTGGGAATCAAACAGGAGGTTTTGAGATGTCAAGAGGCCTAAATATGAATTTAAATTAGAGTTTTATAGTTCTCCTCTTAATGCATTTTAATATAATTTTATTTAGTATCCCTTAACACAATCTAACCCAATAGTGCTCCATAATTATTTTTAAATCAATCCCCAAGTCAATATCTTCTCTCTGAAATTTTAGCATTATTCAGTCTCCTAAGCACAGCTGCAAGTTGAAATGATTTTAAAGAACTGTGAGCAGAAACTTAATACAAAAAAACCAAAACAAAACACCAAAAGTCTTTATTTTGCAGGGAAGGACATACTGGGTTATTAACAGAGAATGACCAGGAACATAGGCATAGGATTAAGTCAGACAGATTGAATTAAGTGTTTTGAATGCACTATAAACGAGATTTTGAAATCAATTTGCCATTTTTATTGCATTTGATATGGACTTTTAAGGATAGAGGCAAGATGGAAAGATGTAATGCTGCTTTATTTAGCCCTGCTAAAGCAAATGGAAGTGTTGTATGTAAAAGTTCCCCAGAATTTCTTGAAAGGAGCAAACTGCAGTTTTATATACCTTTTCTTTTAGAATAGTATTTAGTTGTATATTAAATACTATTGCAGTAAACATGATGCTAATTTTCACCTTGGAATATCTTACTGTTTTTTAATTGTGGTTTTGGAGTTTCAGTGAGTTTTCCACAACGGCTTTTGGCTGGATGCCAACTTACTGAGGTTACTTTATTATACTTCATTCAAATACAGGAATTCTAAGCAGCCCTGAATAAAATTCAAGAAATTGTTATCCTAAGTGTAGCAGATACTCTTGGTTCCTTACCCAACATCAATTTCCATTTTCTTTGCTACTAGAGTCGTCCCATATTTGTTAGGGTTCCACCCTTTCTTTGCAGTACTGTGCTCAGAGAGAGATAAATCCTGTGCTCATAGAGAGATAAAACTAGTTGAGGTGACCCTCTCCCTTAGGAGGTGATTGGTTTAGAGAGGTGTGTGTGAACCAGTTTGATCAAGGAGACATGAGAAATATGCTGGAGGAACTCCTGGAAAGTTTTTTTTTTTTTTGCTCAAAAAAGATGCAGGGAACAGATAATTCTCTTTTCTACTGAATATTATGCCTGAATGTGACTCTTGAACTGACTTCTACAGCTGTCTGAAATGATGAATGAGCTGACCTGAGGATGAAGTAGGTCACACCAAGGAGAGCAGAGCAGAAGATGCAAAGAACAGACTCGATGATGCCGAGCTTCTAAATTTTGAATGAAATTTGGAGCTGTCCTGCACCCAGATTTGTTAAGTGTGATGTTACATTTCCCTCTCTTTAGGCCATTTTGAGTTAAGATTCTCTATTACTTGCAACTGAAAAGGTCCTGTTAAAATAATATCATACCACAGTGTCCTTGGTTTATGTAACATCATCTATTTAGATAACATTTGCTTTTAAGCAGCAATGCATATCAATTATGGGGGATTTCTGTGTATTCTTTAGGGAGTCTAGAAATACCAGATAATTCCACTTTCACACTATTGTGGTGATAAAAAGAGTTGACAATAAAGCTACCATTTACTGAACACCTGCTGTATGTCAAGCACTGTACCAAATGCTTTAGGTATATTATCTCAGCTAATTCTCACACAATACCTAAGTATTGTCCACCCGCCCCATTTTGTTAATAAATAAGAAAACAGACTTAAGAAATTTAAACCACTTGCCCAATGTAAAAAACTAGGAAGAGCTAGAAAAGGACTAAACAGAAGTCTCTTTATAATTAAACTTATGCTCCTAATTTTGCTGATTTCTTTTTTATTTTTATATCCTCACCAGAAGACTTTTTTTTTTTTTTTTTTTGCATTTATCTTCAGATAGAGCAGGAGGGAGAAAGGGAGGAAGAGAGAGAGAGAAACATCGATGCGAGAGAGACACATCAAGTGGTTGTCACCCACATGACCCAACTGGAGCCGGAGACAAACTGCAACTGAGGCACGTGCTGTTAGCGGGAACCAAACCCAGGACTCTCTGATCCACGGGCCGATGCTCTAACCACTGAGAAACCGGCCAGGGCTGCTGATTGCTTTTTTTTGCTTTTTTTTTTTTTTTTTTATCCTCACCCGAGGACATTTTTCCATTTTTCGCACAGATAGAGTGGGAGGGAGAGAGAGGAAGAGAGAGAGAGAGAGAGAGAAACATCGACGTGAAAGGGACACATCGAGTGGCTGCCACCTGCACGACCAACCAGGGCCGGGGACAAACTGCAACCGAGGTACATGCCCTTAGCGGGAACCGAACCCGGGTCTCTCCGGACCGCAGGCTGACGCTCTAACCGCTGAGCCAAACCGGCCAGGGCTGCTGATTGCTTTTTATTGAACATGATGTACTGGTCATTAAGAATAAAAAGAGATAAAGTAAAAATTGCTTTGTAGTTTTAGAAAATCCTGAAGACTTTCTACCCAGGAGAAAAAAAGTGCATGACAAAGGACTATAGAAAGCAGGCACCTAAGGCTGTTGTTACTATTGTTTCCAAATGATGTGTGATGGTGAGAAGGAGAGATGATTGTGATGGGAAAGTCACATGGGGTGATGGCTGTGCCTGAGCTCTGATGCCTGGGTTGTGTTAATGAGTGCTTCTACAATGCCTGGGCCATCAGATTAGAGTACCAGGAGCCCATGGAATCATATTGTTGTTGCAGGATTAAAAGTGAGAGGGGAAAATCATGTGGAGGGAGACTACTAAACTGAGTTTTCTCAAAATAAAGCAAATGGAGTTACAGATGGTGGGCATAATTAAACATAATATTCTGGATGTAGATGAAACTGAACCCATGACAGGTTTATGGAAGCATATTTTTAGGTCCTAGGGATGATCTAGCCAAGATTTCCATTCAGGATTCTTTCTAAGAGAGAAATAGACTCTCAGCCCATAAATTCTATGAAACAGTCTGATTAATTCTCTCTTCAGTGTCCTTCTGGATGGCAATGTCAAGTACCCTAGTTCCATTGAAGTTTCTGTTCAAGACTCTGAAACAAACATTGAACCATGATACACTGGAAGTAGCTAGATATTGATATATGTTTCTTAATGTTGTCCGTTTCTGTCTTTATCTCCACAAAATACACTGGGAATGGAGGTAGGCTTGCAGATTCTAGCAATAGTTCCAAAAGGCCAGAAGGATCTGAAACAGATCAGGAAAAAGCTGGAAGTAAAGTAAACTGGTCAAGGAAAGAAGTGGACCACAGCCCTCACTGTCTTCTCCAAGTAGAGATTAGATGTACAGTAGCTTGTTCCCGGAAGAAGATGAAATTCTGCCTGTGAACAGCAGCTTCAGGCTATGCCTGAGACTTCTAGCACTCTTCCTAATGGCCTGCCCTGTGGATTTCAGACTTGCCTAGCTAGCTCCCATAATTGCATAAGCCAATTCCTTACAATAAATCTCTTAATATATCTCTCTTACTGGTCTGATTCTCTGCTTGAATCCTGATTGATACACAGTGACAAAGAGAAACTCTTAAAAGAAGCCAGAAAAGAAACATACACAGAAAGTAAAAATAAGGATGACAGCAGATTTCGCATTAAAACATGCAAGTGAGAAAACAGTGGATCAAAATCTTTAAAGTACTAAAAAAACAAAAAACAACAACAACCTGTCAACAGAAATTATATAACCATCTTTCTAAAATGAAGGTAAAACAAATATTTTCCAGACATACAAAAACTGAAAGAATTAATCACCAGCACATCTGTATTACAAAAAAGATAAGTGGATTTATTTTAATTTTTAGAGTAGTTTTAGGTTTGCAGGAAAACTACAGAAAGTACAGAGTTTCCTTATACCTCCTCCCCTATCCCACATCTTGCATTAGTTTGGTACATTCATTATCATTAATAAACCAATACTGATGCATTATTCACTGAAGTACACAATTTACATTAGGGTTTACTCTTTGTGTTGTACAGTTCTGTGAGTTTTAACAAATGCATAGCCATGCATCCACTATTATAGTATCTTACAGAATAGTTTCACTGCCCTTAAAAATGCTCTGTCCTCCCCCTCCTCCACCTGGCCCCTGGCCACCACTGATCTTTTTACTCTTTTCATAGTTTTACTTTTTCCAGAACATGGTATAGTTGGCAACAAAATATGTAGACTTTTCAGGCTGACTTCTTGAACTTAGAAATATTCATTTAAGATTCCTCCATGTCTTTTTGTAGCTTGATAGCTCATTTCTCTGAAATGTACTTTTTTTCAGGCAGAAGGAAAATGGTACGAGATGGTCATCTGTATCAACACAAAGGAATCCATATCTATACCAGAAATGGTAACTGTATGGGTAAATGTGTAAGATTTTTAAATTTAAATATCTTCAAAAGATAATTGACCTTTTAAAGAAATAAACAAAATGTAGTATAGAGTTTATAACATAAAATCATAAAGATACTCAATTCCAAAAAACATAATAGAAAAGGAGAAAAAAAAACCCAAAGAACTCATGGGACAAATAAAAAACAATTAACAAGATGATAGATTAAATATTTGTTTTTGTTGTAGAAAACTGGACAAGGGGGTGGGGGGAGAATCTCTGGGAGACCAACTTATACAGTTTCCCTTTCCAAGAGAGACTCAAAGTGGGTGAGTTGTCTGGCATGGCAGAGAGGCTCCTGGGAAGCCTTACAGGACATATGAGCCTACAAGGTTCTTCTCAATGCTGGAGTATGCCCGAAATCCCACCCTTAAAACTTTATCTTAAGATTGCAATCTTGTCTGGCCAGTGTGCCTCAGTGGTTAAGCATTGACCCATACACCAAGAGGTTGCTGATTTGATTCCTGGTCAGGACAAGTACCCAGGTTGTAGGCCAGATCCCCAGTGGAGGGTATGCAGGAGGTGGTCGGTCGATGTTCTTTCTCATCAGTGTTTCTATCTCTCTCTCCCTCTCACTTCCTCTCTCTAAAATCAATAAAGGAAAAAAAAATTTTTTTTAATCCTTCTCTGTCTTCATGTGTTGATATTTCCTGAGGCTAGATTTGATTTGGGGAAGGAAAGCAGAGAAGACCTGGGTCTCCAATGCAACAGGGAATAAAACCACAGAAGCATAGGGAGTTGGAATAGAGATGAGGGGAATTGGGTAGGAGATTAGGGACGATGATACGGAGATGAGGACAGGTGGGAAGGAGATGAGGGGAACAGGGATAGAGTTGGGAGAGGAAATAATAAAGAGAAAGCCCACCTGCCCTTTTTGCTGTTTTGACTAAGCCTGGTTGGAAGGAAGGAGAATATTTTACAAGGCAGGTTTTGGAGGTGAGAGGGAGCTAGGCTTTCTGTTGGACAGCTTAGAGGGAACCCATGTATTCCAATATGTGAAAACATGGGCTTTAGAATCAGACAGATGAGCTCAAATCCATCAGACAGTTTTGAGCTATCTGACCTTGGGCAAATTGATTAACTTGTTTGAGTCTCAGTCTTCTCATCTGTAAATATTAGCAGAATAAGAGGACCTACTTTATAGGAATATTGTGAAGACTAATGAGGTGTCATTTGCTAAATCTTGGTAGTGATCCTAGCACATTGTAAGTAAATTCTAGTTATTGAGTAATTTACTCTTCTCCCCAGACCAAGAACAAATGATCTATGATATAAAGTCTCCGTAAATAATCTTTAATTTAGACGGACTCAGCCCAGCCTACTCCTGTTCTTATCCTGAGGCATTCTGACCCTAGATAACAGATCTTCAAAGCAGGAAAATTACTGAAAAGTGCTCTGACTCCACCATGCTCTGGTCTGGACCACCTTGAATCCTTCCCCCACATTGTTGCCAGATGGTACTTTACTATGAGTCAATCTACTTGTTACTTTCCTGCTAAAGTCTTTGAATGGCTTTTTGCCTAGAGTTAAATGAAAGCTCTTTAGGTTGGCACAGAAGGTCCTCCCTGACCTAATAACCATTATGACCTTTCCTGCTCCCATGCCCTCCCTCTTCCTGGTTAGGGTAGGAGGAGCCTCTTCCTGGTGCTTGCTAGCAGCTAACACAGTGTGCATTGTGTTATCCCAGCACTGATCACATGGTATTGTTTGAGTGTGTGAGTATCCTCCTGAGTAACTGAACGCAGGACTTGCCTCATTCATTTCTGTCTTATTAATGTCAATGTCTGTTCATGTTTTTTATTAGGAAATTCCTTCACAATTAAACATATATAAAATAGATACAGTGAAAACTCTCTCCTGTTTTCCAGATACTCTGTTCCTCTTCTAGGAGGGAACCAACTAATGCTAATAGTTTTTGTGTGTGTGTATGTGTATCTTTCTGGAAATATTGTGTGTGTGTGTGTGTATTCTTTCTTCCCCCCTTTATAAACAAATGGTAGCATATTATTTATGCCATTTTGTACTGTTTTTTTTTCCCCTTAGTATAACTTGGCAATCTTTCCATCTCAGTATAAAATGAGTTTTCTTATTATTTTTTGCCATTGCATGGTGTTATTTATATCTTTTTTTTTTTTTTATCCTCACCCGAGGACATTTTTCCTTTTTTTGTTCAGGTAGAGTGGGAGGGAGAGAGAGGAACGGAGAGAGAGAGAGGAACATCGATGTGAAAGGAACACATCGAGTGGCTGCCACCCGCACAACCGACCAGGGCCGGGGTACGTGCCCTTAGCAGGAACCGAACCCAGGTCTCTCAGGACCGCAGGCTGACGCTCTAACCGCTGAGCCAAACTGGCCAGGGCTATATCTTTATACCTTAACATCTGACACATAGTTAAGTAAATAAGTATTGAATAAATGAAATGTTAAATGAATGAAAACAAAAGACACGTTTGTGCTGCTCCTGGAAATTAGCAAAATAAGCTACTATATATTGTTTCAATACATATTACACATATCATACATCACATAGATAAATCATACAGTCTTCTGATTTAACAACAGATAGAAATCTGTTTTGGTCCGGCCGGTGTGGCTTAGTGGTTGAGCATCGACCCATGCATCAAGAGGTTGCCTGTTCGATTCCTGGCCAGGACGCATGCCCAGATTGTGGGCCCGACCCCCAGTGGGGGGCATGCGAGAGGCGGCCAATCGATGTTCTCTCTCATCGATGTTTCTAGTTCTCTTTTCCTTTCACTTCCTCTCTCTCTAAAATCAATAAAGGGAAAAAAAAATTTTTTTTAAAGAAAAAAAGAAATCTGATTTGTCTTATTCCTTTCCATCCATTAGAGGGAGACATGAACCTGTTGTGTAAAGCCAACACTTAGATTCTCTAACTAGGAAATCTGAAACAACTCTATAGCACGTGACCCTTGATAGAATTTGAGCTCCTAATAAATTAATCTAGGACTGGAGGTTTTAGGGATGATAAAGGAAGTTAATTGCAGGATGAGAAAGGAGTAAGGACCCAGGTGAACTCCACTCAGTTACTAAAAACAAGACTAATTACCTTTACTGGGCAGTATGATAATAACTCAGCTCCTTAAAAAAAGTCCTGCTTTATATGTAGTGTTTATGGATTCCCTAGGGGGTAAAAAAAAGACCATAGTCAAAGTGAGCCATGAACCAAAAAACCAGAGAACAGTCAAGAAGTGTTTATGTCAATCTATGCCTGTGTTATTCTGAAAGAAACAAGCCTAGCATCCCTGAACTCCTCTCTGGCCAAGAGAACTCTGTAGTGTAACTACTCACTGTGACTGATTTTAAGCTATGATTGGTTTAACTGAAGTGCAGATTCCTTGGACACTTAACAGTAGTGTCTCCCGAGCCAGTGTGAGCAGGCTTCTGCTCACTGCTGAGCCTTGTTGGGCCTTAGTTACCTTTCCTATAAAATGGAATGATAAATCACCCATTATGTAGATTCCATTATATAGTGGACACATAAGCACTCTGAGCACTTTATTTTTTAAGCCTCACCCAAGGATATGCTGTTGTTTAACTGATTTTTTTAGGGAGGGGGGTGGTGGAGAGGGAGAGGGAGAGGGAGAGAGAGGGAGAGAAAGAGAGAGAGAGAGAGAGAGAGAGAGACTGATGTGAGAGAAAAACATCAATCAGTTGCTTTCCATATGCTCCCCAACCAGAGACTGAACTTGCAACCTTTTGTCATATAGGAAATGTTCCAACCAACTGACCCACCCAGCCAGGGCAGTACTTTAAAACAATGTTTCTCAAACTTCCCTGATCATAACTTCACCCAGTATCTTGTGGAAATGTACATTTTTAGGACCTGAGCTCCTGACTCAGAGCCTGCTAGGGAAGAGAGGCATTGGAATCTGTATTTAAACAGTGACCCAGGTGACTTTTATGATCCAGGAATGTAGGGAAACACTGCTCTAAATTGGTCTTACAACTAGGCAGTGTGTCAGTGGGTCTTTCTCTGACTCGCTTCCCCATTGGGCTTGCCTGAAGAGACTACACAGAGTTCTAAGACTAACTCCAGGTAGGGCATCTAAGGTCCCTACTACCTCCTCCACCCTCAGAGGAAACCCCAAACATTTTAAATAAGAAACCTGCTCCTTGCCCTCTCCTAGGCCGAGTCCTCCCTACATCTATGAAGCCTTTGTTCCAAGCACTTCTGGGTTGCTTTTAAGCTAGCATTTATTGAGAATTTACCAGATGTCGGGCATGTTACTACTCATCTTTTCTTTTCATTCTCACAATCATCGTATAAATTAGATTTTTATGTTCTTCCCATTTTACAGAGGAAGATCAAAGAGGCCAGGAAAGTGTTCAAGTGTATACAGCTGGTAAGTGGTTGGGCTGAAAACCCATCCTGGACCCCACTGGGCTCCATTCTGCTGTGGGTGCTTCTGGCTCCCCACACTGGTGCATTCCTATTCTCCACCCTATCTGTAGAATTCCAGTGTCCTGAATGTAGCTTCCAGAGGCTGGAGTGGAAGAATGAGGGGTTCTAAGGGAAGGATGCAAGGCTGGCCTGGGTACCCGTAAAATTCAGAGGAGACCCCAGGAGAGATCAGCACCTTTCTGTCTGAAGGGCAGTCAGCTCAGGTAAGGAGTTGGGGGGGTGGGGGGTAATGTAAATCTCTAAGATGAACCCAAACCAGTAGGGAAGTGACTTCTCTTCCTCTGAATGTCCACAACCCTCCCCTCCCATATCCACCATGCATTTGTCACTATCATTTGTAACAGGTATTGTAGATAATTTCTCTTTTTATTTTTTATTTATTGACTTTTAGAGAGAGAGAGATTTATTGTTCTGCTTATTTATGCATTCATTGGTTGCTTCTTGTATGTACCCTGACTAGAGATTGAACCTGCAACCTTTGTAGACCATTTCTTAGGCATTTGTCTTCTCTCTTCAACTAGAGTATATAGCTTTAGGGAGAATAGCAGTTGAGAGAGAATGGGCCTTAGGGTGAAACAGATCTGGTTTGAGCCTTTTACTAGTTTGAGCTACTTACTAGTTGTGTGATGTTGGGCAAGTTACTTATGAGAACATGAATAGTACTTACCTTGTGAGATTGTTTTGAAGATTAAATGAAATGGTGCAGAGAAAGGATTTATACGTAATTGCTGAATGAATGGCAGTCATCTCCTCCTCCTCCACCTAGTCATCTGAGAGTGAACACCTTCCTATTCTCTTGTCTCAGGTAGGGACTTAAAGCATTACTGGTTTTCAGCGTTAAGGGGGCATTCTCACAGAAATAAATGCATGAGGGCAAGAAGCATTCTCAAAGAAGAGTGTTTTATGAAAGAACAAATGTAATGTCATGTGAGAATAATTTTAAGGGGAAAAAAATTAAGAGCTATACATAATTTTCTTCCTTGAATGGTATTTTAGGCCAAAACAGCATAAGAAGGGCAGAAGAAAGAACGGGGTCAGGCTGACACAAACCTACAAATACTGCTAGTAACCTACAGATACTAGCAGTAGTAACATGACAGAGATTTAGAGAATCCAGAGCTACCAACAAACACAGGAAATGAATCTCCCTTGGGAGGCAGGTATGGATCTACATGACCTGACCTGGGTCCTCTTAGTGTAAGTCTGAAGAACTCACTTAAGTCTCTTTAACTGTAAAATGCGGATAAAATCATCACAGAGTTGGTGTGAAAATGAATCAAGTCATGACCATGTAAGTGCTTTGTTAACTGTAAAAGCCAGTGTCATCCTAGGGTGGCGGTTCTCTTAGTAAGGAACCATGGAGAGATTAGTGAGCAAAACTGCCTGGACAGATAGAAAAAAAAAAAATAGAGATGTAAAAAGAGATAAAAGGGGAGAATGCAGGGATCCTAGTACGTTGAACAACATTGGCAATCCCTCAGAAGCTGTCTGCACTACTTGCAGCAGTTCATTTCCTTGCTGTAATTCCCAATAAAGGAGGGGATTGAATGATGAAGAATACCATTCCTTTCTCTGGTTAGGTTCATCAGATCAAGGAATAACATATGTAGAAGAAGCATCAAAGAGAAAGGGGAGGGCCCTGGCCGGTTTGGCTCAGCGGTTAGAGCGTCGGCCTGTGGTCCGGAGAGACCCGGGTTCGGTTCCCGCTAAGGGCACGTACTTCGGTTGCAGTTTGTCCCCGGCCCTGGTTGGTCGTGCGGATGGCAGCCACTCGATGTGTCCCTTTCACGTCGATGTTTCTCTCTCTCTCTCCCTCCCACTCTATCTGTACAAAAATTGGAAAAATGTCCTCGGGTGAGGATAAAAAAAAAAGAGAGAAAGGGGAGGGATTTTCTGTAGCAAAGAAACTACGAAGAGGCAAAACAAACAAAACCCTGCAGAGCCCTGGCCAAGTGGCTTAGTTAGTTGGAGTGTCATCCTGTACACCAAAAGGTTGTGGGTTTGATTCCAAGTCAGTGCACAAAAGATGGGGTCTGTGTTTTTATAAGAACCATTAATGCAATGTGAATCCTTAGCATGTTAGTTAATGTGGTTCCAAAAACAACGAGACATTTCTAGTAACTTTCCATGATATGAATAAAGGACCCGAAAATGTTAAATACATTTACAACCAGTAGAAAAAAACTGGTCAATTTTTTTGAATTCTAAACTCAATGCAATCAGACAATATTATTAGAATCTGTGGCCTCTTAAACCATGTCTGTTTATATGCTATTTCCTTTTTTACCTCATTTCTGGGAATATTGCAATGTCTGATCTATTATTAATATCATCTTCTGTGCCAGAAGAGGTAAGGAACCTGCATTTCCAGAATTGCATTTGTCATTTGTGAAATTGCATGTTACAATTTGCCACCATTTCTAACAGTTCTTGAACATTTTCTTTCTCAGCTGGGTGTTCACATTCATGCCAGTGACCTCCAGGGGCTAGTTTCTTTTTTAGCTCAAGAGACAATTGCTTCAGTTAGAGTTGGGTAAAGCCAACTGAGGACACGAACATATATTTTTATGTTGTTGTTAAAATGGATAGAAAAATAGAAACTCAAGGTGTGTGAGAGATTTGTGTGGAATTTCAGTACCTTCAAGGAGCATTAGGCAGGCCTAAACATTTACCTGTACGTTTACAAATGTCAAAGACCAAGGACTGATACAAATGAGAGTGACTTATAAGGAGTTAGTTGGCTGCACATTCTGGCTGCCAGGTGGTTCATTTCAGCTACAGGTCAGAGTAACCTTGTCTTGTGGTCTGGGTACCCAGGTATCAGGTTAGGTCTACTTTCTGCTTGTGTCCTTGGTCACCTAACTAAGGGCTCCAGTCATGTCAGTAAAGAATAAAGTTATATAAATATGCACGCAGGTAGTCATGGCTAGACAAGAACTTTGCAAAACTTCATTCAGCAATATCTGGGTCCTTCAGGACAAACATACTCTGTTTACACAACAAATAAGAAAAGCAGCCCTGGCTGGTTTGGCTCAGCGGTTAGATCATCAGCCTGAGGACCGGAGAGTCCCAGGTTCGGTTCCCGCTGAGGGCATGTACCTTGGTTACAGTTTGTCCCCAGCCCAGGTTGGGGTTATGTGGGTGGCAACCAGTCAATATGTCTCTCTCACACTGATGTCCCCCCCCCCCCCCATTTCCCTCCTGCTCTATTTGAAGATAAATGCAAAAATGCAAAAAATGTCCTCAGGTGAGGATTAAAAAAAAAAAAGGCAGCACAGGGTAATAGTGGAGAAAGCAAGAACTTTCACTCTGCCACATGCACAAGGGTGTTTTATAAAAGACATGTCATCACCAAGTCCCAGTTTTCCCATCTATGTAGGGAAGCCATGAGGATTAAATGAAATAAAAATGAACCAACCTGTGCAAACCTGCCTGCTATGGTACCTGGGCTGTAAAGATGCATAAATATTAGGTCCATTTTTATCTCCACAAAAAACAAAACAAAACATGAGCCTAAAGAGCTGCACCCAAATTCAACTTTCAAATATCAAATTCTATTTTATGAACCATGACTTATGAGCAGCTGAGATAACTCTGACGTATCACATTAGTAATCTCACCTTCCTCATTTATTGCCACCAAATAAAGGTGTTATTGCAGGTTCAACAAGTCTTTCTCTTCTCTTTTATTAATTCTATAAGTTTAGGGTTTCATCTCTCAGATTTGCTTAAAACAGACCAATTTATAGCCACATAATATGAAGAACAAGTCTGATGCTGTTATACTCTGGAGCAGGTAAGAACATCGCAGGACCTAGATCTTCTCAGTTGACCTCAAGCTCAGAAGAGAGAAAGTGTCAACCCAAAGCTGTTCTTATAGCCCTACCCTCTTCCAGCCATTTGTAGGAATGCTTCCTCCCCTCTGCTTTTTCACATTAACTTTTGCCTTCTTGCCTTCTGCAGGGGTGTGTGTGTGTGTTTAATCCTCACCTGAGAATATTTTTTATTGTTTTTTGTTTTGAGAGAGGAGAGAGAGAGAGAGAGAGAGAATCATCAATGTGAAAGAGAGAGAGAGAGAGAGAGAGAGAGAGAGAGAGACATAAATGTGAGAGAGAAACATTGTTCCTTTGTATCCTGACCAGGGATTGAACTCACAACCTAGGTATGTGCCCTGACTTGGAATCAAACCCACAACCTTTTGGTGTACAGGATGACACTCCAACTAAGCCACTTGGCCACGGCTCTGCAGGATTTTGTTTGTTTTGCCTCTTGGTAGTTTCTTTGCTACGGGAAACCCCTCCCCTTTCCCTTTGATCTTTCTAAGTTGAAGCCTTCAGCAGGTATTTGTTTAATGCCTGGTTTATACTGGGTGGGTGCTGTGAGCACTTTGCTACCAGAGGGGATGCTAGAGATACTAGACGTGTACTATGCAATCACGGTGCAGGCAGTGTTCACGGCTAGGATGAGCACCGTGATGGAGGCAGGGTGCACATTCACTGGGCTGTCACAGTCTTCAAGCCAACTTCATTTCCCATTGATTGCAGTCATGGTATGGAAGAAAAGAGAGTCTTGGACTCTGACATGGGTTAAAATCCTTCTTAGCCACTGACTGGTCATTTTCTCAACTGTAAAATGAAGATAATTAACAATATGATCTACCTCATAGACTTGTTGTATATAAAAAGAGATATGTAGAAAGTGGAGCATGGCTAACTACCCAGTGAGTAGTAGTTGTCTACAAGAGCATTGTTGCTACTGGGTTCCCTTATTTTTATTTATCTTGGGTTCCTTTCTTACTATGTGTGGCTGATATAAGTTCTGTGAGCCTCAGTTTCCTGATCTGAATATTGGGGTCATTATTACTTAGTTCACAAAATTTAATAAGGATTAAGTGAGATGCTGAGCAAACACTTAGCACATGCTCTGGCATGATAGAGATACTTGATAGATGTCAGTTTTCTTCACCCTCAAGTCATCTTTGTCTGCTTGTTGGCTCATGACTGAAATTCCTTCACACTAATTTTGATTCCATACATATCTCGTTAACAAGTAAGTACTGCCAAATGGAACTAATATTTTAAACCATTATTTAAGATTTTTCTCTTTAACTTGGAAAGAAGGAAGGAGCATATCGGTACTGGGTACCTGGAGAGGCACCCAGGAGAGGAAACAGGGAAGCTGAGATTGGCAGAGGTAAATATCTTGTTCTCTACAGTTCTTCACTGGTGGGATTTGGTCAGCTAACACACTCTCCTTCCTGTCCAAACTAACTTCTCTGCCTCAAGGATCAGAAACTCTGCCTTACAACTTGAGAGTCCTGTAGTCCAGGAGTCCTGGCTTCAATGAAAATTGGGGTAGGGTGGAGTAGAGATTTTTGATAACCTTGTTTATAAAGTAGGTCTATTTGGAGCCTGTCTCCACCACCTGTGGACCTCACTCACAGAAACTGAGAGCACACTAGAGATGACCTATGAGATATCTGCTACTTTCCTTTTGATTTTCACCATCAACAGCTTCTCTAAAGCCAGTTGCTTCTTAAAAACTGTAATATAGCCCGGCCTGTGTGGCTCAGTGGTTGAACCTCGACCTGTGCACCAAGAGGTCACCCTTTCGGTTCCTGGTCAAGGCATATGCCCAGGTTGTGGGCCAAATTCCCAGTGGGGGGCATACAGGAGGTGACCAATTGATGTCCTCATTCATCGATGTTTCTATCTCTCTCTCTCTCTCCCTTCCTCTCTCTAAAAAATCAATAAAGAAAAAACATTTTTGTAACTGTAGTATAGTCCTAGTCTACAAACTGTGGGCTACTGCCAAGTGGGTGAGCAGAACTTGGGAACCCCGCAGAGTTAGGGAAACTGGAGCTGCCACCAGGGGACGCTCGCCTGCGACAAGAGTTTGACAAGGCGTGGCCAAGGGGGCACCGCTGCAGAGGAGGCACAGATGTTTCCCCGGATGCTTTCTTTTACACTAGGTGAGTATGAGGAGGTTCCTGGGATCTTTGATCTAAGTCAAAGGCCTTCCCAGTCAGCCCCTGAGAACTGAGAAACCATGCCCCCCGTCTCCTG